TAAACTATGTTGCGAAACATATGTAGATAGCCCAATTAACAGTAGTTCAAGACCGAACTCGTGGACTTTGATTATATGATGCAAATAATACTTTTGTTTATATCATAGTTTACTGTAATTTTTAATATTTTGTACTATACTTTATAATTTGTACTGTGGTGAAATAATCTTTTGACAGTAAAACGATTTTTCAAATGCGGGCCCCCCTATAACGCGGACGCGCCCGCGCCGGAGTATACGGACGTGTACCGTTTTTTTGAACGATTCAAAAACTAGGAACACGAATTTATCAGTCACATATTTAGTTTAGTTGTATAACAACACAATTCAAATAATAATGGACTCGACAAATCATTATAAATTTCACACAACAGAAATATAACTTGAGACATCTCCGCGTTATAGGGGGGAAATACCGCGTTATATGAGGGACGGAAATCACGTTATACGAACGAATATAGGGGGGGATTACTGTGCCATTATCTACATCATTACTTTTTAAGACTAATAAAATAATATAAAACTTATTATTTGTGTGTACTCTGATTCTGAAAAATTATTCAAAAGCTATTTTAAAACCATATAAACATTTCCTGATATATAAACAAGTAAAGCACATCGAAATGAAATAGATAAAATCACCTTATTCAATGTAAATTCAGGATGCTCACAGATTATAATAAAATAGATAAATCTATCACAGAACGGGGTCAGTCAATCTCGAGTCAGTAACCGAACTATAAATATTGATCCGAGCTCTCCTTGACTCGAATCGCTACACAGACTTGCGAAACTTCGCCCACAAATGTTACTCATTGTCGTCTATTGCATGTGGTGCAAACTGGTTGCTTCAGTGGCGACAGCTTCTCACTGTAACTCTCTCTGTGTTCTTTATTACCAACAAAGATTGGTTTGATAGTTGTCTACTCTATTGCGACATTGATCCTAATAGTACCGATCTTTTACTTTAGCATAATTTAGTCTATGGGCTAGCAAAACTGTAGGTGAGTCATGATGGTACAATATAGTTAGTCATACTCAGAGTCATTGCGCTTTATGCAATAACTTTACTATTCATCCGGGAGGTAAAAAAGGTGTTTCTGTCCTATGCTGTCTTAATTCATTACGTAAATAGACGTGATAATTTAATAAATCAAGCTACCAAGCACCAATCAAAGAACTAACTTATACAAGATATATACCATATTTTTGTAGGACAATGCGAACCGATAATAAATCTGATGTTAAATGCTTGTACCGTCACGGGCAATTAAAATACTAGAAGGTTCACTTTTGTCTTTCGTCAAGAGAGTCCATATATATAAGGCAATTCTCAAATTCACTTCAGATTCGCCGAAAACCGAGTGCAATTAATATTTTATTCCAAATAATAAAATATTTCATCAGCGTTGTCCGTCACCGATTTGCCCCACATGATGCAAACAGGTTATTTGAAACCAATCACTCGGCAATACAACCGCAAAGTGGTATTAATAACTGATCGGTAAAAGTTTACAGTAGAATGCAATTCACTATAAAAATATATACAAAAATAATAATTGAAACAAGGGCTTATTCTCTTCCATGAGCGTCAATTAAAGAGATAGATTAATAGTAACCAATTTACCAACCCATACACACCCTCCTCCACTCCTCCACTCAGTCACATACACACACCTCCACACACACACACACACACACACACACACACACACACACACACACACACACACACACACAGACACACATACATTATACAACTCTATTTCTGTAGGACTAACCATACCGGACATAATAAATAGGCTTAAAAGGCGACAAATCCTAAGTCTTGATAGACACGGTTGAAAGAGAGGAGCAGTCTCGATGGAGATTTTGCTCTGAACGCCTAACAGCTCTCAACACATCTGCTCATAGTCTAGATTGTAAGATAGACTTATATAAAAAAAATCTGTAGGAATCTAGTTGACTCTTTTGATTCGTTTTTTTTTATTTTGTCCTTTCTTTTGTTATGACTCAGTATGACTTTGTTGTGGAATGGAAGCCTGGTTATCCATATCACAGGTTCTTACCTAGCTTGGAAACCAGTCTGCCAATACCTCCTTAATTGTAATCGTACTGTTTGTTTCAAATGTTATATGGGAGAAAATAAAGAATTATTATTATTACAATACAAATACGATCGCAATACAATCTACAGTTTTGAAAATTCCTTATGGGGCAATGGCATCGTTTTCCTCTGACCTCTTTCAAGAATCATTTACCTAAAATTTCGTTAAACTAATTATAAACGTAAAGCAATATATTTATGGAAACTAATATGAAAATGAATTGTTCACCACCCACGTACCTTGAGATAATAACATCTACCCACGCCTATCGATCGTGGAAACTGGAATGAAATACGTACTATTTCTTTTAAGGCTCAGTTCTGACGACTGAGGAGAAATTAGAATTTGATAAACAAATGAATCAATTAATACCATTGTTTTCTAGGCGTCTGTAAAATTAAAACAATGAATGATACTATAATAAGCAATGACGTGTAAATGACATAAACATCGGTAGAAAATATAATGAAAGATAATAAAAATATTATGATTGTATACATTCGAGTCTGGTACGTCCGCATGTAACACAAAGGCACAATTAAGCCTTTTGATTTTACACCCAGAATCTATATGCATTTGACAACCGTTTATTTTTTACACGCTTTATATTAGCTTCACCTGTATGTATGTAACCGACTCCTTCGGACTCGATTTTGACCCACTTTTAACGGACAGATTTAATTCAAACTTTGCGCACCTGTCAAAGATCGATGACAATGCAATAATCCGAAAAAAAAAATTAAAAAAAATTAAACTAAATAATAGTTTAAAAAAACTTAAAAACACGCTTTAAAGCACATCAAACTAAAAAGTGAAAAATAATTCCTAATTTAGGCTGAAAATGGTAATGAACAAAAAATACTGGTATTATTGTGAAAAAGCGTGGGGCGCTCTGTGCTATATTTTTCGTATAACGAGCAACTTCGTTACCTTATACAAAAACATACATATCAAAAAGCAGGGTAAATTAGTTATTAGGCAACGGGCGGCCTTATCGCTAACAAGCGATTTCTTCCAGGCAACCCTAGTATGGAACAATAAAAAAGAAACACCAATGAAATAATGATAATATACACAAAAATGTAAAAGCTAAACCAATTGATAATGAGTCACAATCAATATATAGAAGTAGATAATTACAAGGCAGAAGATAAATGATCAAAAAGATTTTTAAATAAATTAAAAGACAGCTCGTCAATCGAGAGGTAAGGAGTTACAAATACTTTGTAGAAATAGACGACTATTCATAACTGTTACAACTGCTATATCAGATATAGAAACCAGATTTCAAAAACCAAAGCTCTTCCCTATGTAGAAGGTAGGTAAACATATCACGCCGTTACGCCATTCAAGAGATGTCTCACATAATAAATTCAATTGCACACGACGTCATAGTAAAATCCATTTAGGGAAATGCTGGCCGCATAGACGCAAATAGCGTATACTCTAATTATAAAAGTTTATAAATAAACTTCAGAGGGAAAAGCCCACGAGGCGAAACGATAAGATAACGATACGTACTAACGATTCGGGGTAACTGGACGCTTATATTTTAGGCATATTTATTTTAACGACGAAATACGATATGTTTGTATATGGATTTGCTATAACAACCCTTAATAATTTCCACGTTTGAGTAAAAATCATCAAATTTCACGATGTATTTTTAGATATTCTTATTACGATTACCAAGAACCCCCAACATCTCTTTAAAAGCCAAAACCTCTGTAGATTCTTATCAAACTATCCAGCCACGACGTAGATTAATACGTAAGTACTATGATACACAAACTTCCTCGAACGATAACCGACTATTGTCACCCTTTATCGTCTCATTTCCTCATAATACTAATATGGACCGAAGTAATTGTGTTCGAGAGCTTTAGTGCAATTCCCGGGATCAAACATAGAAGTACGTGGAAGGCGAATGACGCAGCGCTCATGCGCACCAGGCGTCCTACGCAGCAATAAAATACACTCCCACGTGGATAAAGGTCACAGCCACGGACTATCCTTTATATCTGAGGCTGTACTTAATTTCACCATAAATTTTTCGATATCTTTGCACTAAAAGATCAAAATAAAAGTGCGATCGTTTACAATGCCACTTGGAAACTTAAACAATTACCGGAAATGTAAAGTCCCTTGAAGTAATAAGGCGAAAATGGCGGCAAGGGCGACACAATTTCCGTGTATGACAATGTAAACAATAAATGATTACTTGCTCATTGGAAATACTCACGCAGATGGCATGTAAACAAACGTATTACTATTTTAATAACGGTTTCAATACAAGGCCTGCTTTATAAATAAATACTACTAAAAAGTAAAATCATTGATTCAACTAGGCCTATTAAAAAGGAACTTTAAAAGTAAAAAAAAAACTAATTGCCCCTTCCAAAAGGTAGTTTCGGATGAAGAAGAATGGGCAAGAATCATACTACTAGTAGAGCAACATCGGCATTAAATAATGAGTTATTTAATGCCGAAAGTAACAACAGTACAAAAGTTGCGTAAATTGATATTTTGATATAGATTCGAGGTTAAATATACATTTTTTTGTTACGACGACGTATATATAGACGATATATATACGAAGCGTCCCATAAATCATGTATCAATTAACTGAAGACACGTGCAAGCCATCTAAAAATAGAAATGCACGTGACTGCTTTCAGTTTCAATTGATGTTTTCTGAAATACACTTAAATTGTCATAGGGGTGAAAAGGTACAAAGAATGTTGGCATGCGTTCATTGTCCTGTTTATTTAGATATTGGTACGAAGATATTAATAATAAACCGCTCGAAATGGTTGTAGACTAGCTGTTAGCTAGCTGATACGCAGTTTTTTGTACTCAAATTTGTCTCAAAATATTTAATACTTTTATGTCCTAGAGATATAAAACTAAGCTTACCTCGTTTATGTGTTTGTATGTCTTGATTAGGTCCACACTGAGTTTCCGTAAAGGCGCCGTTGAAGGGTCTCGAAAGTGGTGTGGTATCCGCGCTTGCATAGCCTGGCGATACGAAAACGGACCATCAGTTGCAGGCGACGAGGTAATCAAAACCGACTTCAAATATTTAATAACAATAAATTTGGAAGTAATTTTGAAAATTAAATTGTATACATCAGTTCTAAAGGATTAAAGTAAAATATTTTGAATTTCTGTCACATTAGAATATTGGGAATGAAGTCACCCCTCCTTGAAGTCGGCTAAAAATAAAAACAAACGCAACACAAAGAAGTACAGGCAAAAATAAAAGCGATAAGAATAAATACTTTTAAGAATGGATGATAGATCGAACAAAAACTCTAGGGGGTGAATAAAAGATGAAACGTGCAATATGAACGCGTATGTACTTGTTAAATAGCGAAGTTGTCGTAGGAACTTTAAATTCTCACATATGACAAGGCAATCGGTGAATTAACACGAGACAGTTCGTTTATTGTTAATTTGAAGCTTCCCTTCAAACTTTTGTTTTAATCTGTAAAAAAAAAAGTCTTAGACTTTCATGACATTGCAATATTAAAAGTGGGGCCTCTTAAGGTTTTCGCCAGTACATTAACCCTTCGCTGAGAGAAGTAAGTTGTACGCAATTAGCAGCACTCAAGGTGGATAATTTATTTAGCCGTGCATAATGTGTAGCTCGAGGCGTTAATGACCCTCTCTTAATATAACAGTATGTACGCATTTTACGACTTGAAACACCCTATGAAAAAACTTGCGAAATAAGATGTACTAGACTTGAGTACGTGATGATGCCAAACTACTTTCTTTCCATTTCAGAAATAAACATCTAGTTTTTACACTTTTCGGCGATTTTCTTATTCCGTTGAAATATAAAAAATAAATTATTACAAGTTCGTAAGTGCTTCTCGCTTCGCCACTTCCACATAATCCTCCTAGTTGCGTTTTGTTTGAATTTATAGACGTTAAATTTCTTTTCGCGTGCCTAGCCATAGTTAGTATCGAGACACATCAGTCATGAAATGCCCGAACTGCCTCGTGCGTCATTTACCTGGACAGGGATACGGTAGCGCAGGAAAGCTCTTGGGTTGCGCGCGGGGGCGCTCACCTGAATGTCCGAAGGTGCGCTCATGGAGGCCAGCTGATCCTCAGCAACGAGTCGGCCGTAGAGGGGCACATGCCGCCTCTCGCCGCCGGCGGCTTCAGGCATGCCGCCGCCGACAACACCCACTGAAACAAACAATGTACATTATTTAAAATGTTATACAACCACATACTATATGTACCTATACATGTAAGTATTATGAATTACAAAACACTTTGAATTTCACTCAGTTATTCTAACTTCAATAGGAAGTCTTGCTTAATGGTCAGTTAGTCAAGCAATAATGACCACTTTCTACACCAAAGCACCAACAATGCACTACAACACAACTGGATTTATTTAGATCTGATTCATTCTTCCTTTTAGTTCATTCATTTGATCTTACGGCGACACGTCGCCTGTTTTCTACGAAAGTTACATATGTATTAAGAATATAGGTAACATTAAAATCGTAGCATTTTTCTATAACATTTTTTAAAAGAAAATAGAAGATAAAGAAGTTAAATCTTTAAAATGTATCTTTGTTTGTTAAGTACTCCAAAACAATAAAGAACGTTATGGTCAATCAACCCTGTGCTATAGAAAAAATTACCATATTACAAGTCACCTTGCCCACCTACACATGACTCACAGAATTTCAAACAAGTTCGTTTTCCGAGAAAAATTAAACAAATGTATTTTGGTCATATCTTTTATTGTTCTGGCATTCTGACGTCATTCGAATGTTTTAACGTCTTAAATTTTGGGCAAAGTATATTTCTAGCAAAAAGGGTTGTGTAAATGTGTAGGAGTGTAAGCAGCATGTAGGCGTTCCACGAAAAATTAAGGCATTTAAATAAAATATTTCATAAAGAGGCATTATAAACATTACAGCTTAAGTTCTAAAATTTACATACATGTAAGTAAAATTTACCGTTAAGTATAAATCCCCAGCAAACTTCGTCATACATCTGACTTACCGACAAACAAGTTACCAAGTATTCCTATGTTCCCATCGGAATTTCTGAGACAACTATCTGTGTTTTAAGTTTGAACACATGTATTCTCTTGATATATATTCAGACAATGTGAAAATAGTCTTATTATTTAATAAAATTGCCAGAAGTCTTGTAAAATCGTTTTGTGAAAATTGGTAACATTTTTTGTCAAAGAAATGCTTTTCTTATTTGCCTTAACCATACGAGCAAGCATGCATAAAAAACGAAAATCCAATCGTTTAGAGCCGGGATTCAAATCTTTTGTTTTTATAGGGGGCAAACGGGCAGGAGGCTCATCTGATGTAAAGTGATACCGCCACCCATGGACACTCTTAATTCCAGAGGACTCGCGAGTGCGTTGCTGGCCTTTTAAAAATTGGTAACGATTACTATTTGACCTACGGGCGAATCTCAACTTCCAAACTTCTTCCATTTAAATTAAAATGTGGATGATTAGGACGTGTTTCAAATCATTACAGGTTAATACAAATATACTTTATATTCAAGGCATTAAGTTTCCATACAAATATAATATTTTTCAGTAAAGCACAGAGTATGAATCACTTTTACATTTCACACGTAATGACACAAACTGAGGTCAGACAAGTTAATTCTCCGTTATTTGTGTACAGTCTGGTTCAACGTGACATTTCATACCAACCTTTGGAGTATTGTCGGGACGAAAAGTTCGTTCAACGTCTTGAAACTTCGCTTCAGCTTATTAAATTTTAAATTAAATAAATTTTATTTAAAATCCAAGTAGTTTATTCATTCTACACCGGCCATAAGTTGACAATATTTAGTTTAGGGAATTGCATACAACATGTTTTTTTTTTTATAATATGCAAACATCAGTACTAAGCAATACGCAGTACTTCTCTGTTTAGATACTGTATAGTTGTCTAAATATTATAAACGTAAAAATAGAAGAAAATTAAATTTTACGTATAAAAGATCGCCAAAGTCGAGTATAATTGAATACAAGTATTTACATAATGACAACGCAGCGTACCGAATAAAAATCAATAGAGGCTCCGAGAGGCTTTCTATCGTGATTACGAGTCGCGTGTGCTTAGGAAGAGCATGCTAACCAACATGTGATCGTTACTGCGTCGTTAGAATGCGTTACGTTGACTAAGGCTAGTCACATACTATAAGAAACAAAAATATGAGAATTTTTTTAATTATATGACAGAAATTTGTATTTCTATTATACATAAACATCACCTTTTAGTATTTTTACACCACTTTTTTATATAAATAACCTTATAAATTCAATCGAATTACAAAAAAAATATTTAATATAACGGACTACATGATGTTTTTACGGTAAACTACTTCTTAGATAACTTGTAATGCTGTGTGTACACGGCTTAACCTCATAAAGATGACTGTCAAGTTCCTTCTGTTAGGTCATGATAAGACGTATGATCGAGCAAAATCTCCATTGATTTTATTAAACCTATGAAAATAAACATTACTCAAACAAAAACTGTTCTGATATCCTGATTATGTCGAGTATAATATTATATTCGTTTTATGAATAAATATAATCGATAAGAATCAATGCTATAAGCACACCAAGAAATATTTTTAATTTATGCTTCATTTCAGTACCAATAACAACTATCATAAGTTGTGTTAAAAGTGTGACCGGCAACTCCAACAGGATATAAACAATAAACGTTGCTTTGTGATTTGATTAGTTTACTATACAGTAAATCTGTCAATATCAACAATAATTCTGGAATCAAACCGAGCGACCATCTAGCGTTTTTTTTTAAATTAGAGAACAATAAAATAGCTAATATAAATAAAGTAATATCTATTTGAAATTTACTTAATACTTATTTTACTACTTTTTAATTATCACCATAATTTTTATCCAGTCAAAATCCTAATGATTATTGAATTATCTTACAAGTAACGTTTATTGCGGTCATTCTCGGTATTCATTGATTAATAAGTGTATGTATTCCGGATGTTAGTAATTAAGACTTACATGTGTAAATACACGCAGTAAGGAATGTTTACTTCGTAATTATGATACGATAAACATGTGTGAAAGTTATTACAATTTGTATGAATGAAATTTACACAAACTAAATGACCTAATAATCCATTTACATTTACAGCATTTACCAATAAAAAATGTATATATAACATATCTACGTGTCTACTAGGTACTCAAGAAAATTTGCATTATTTAAAAATAAGAAATATGTAATATAAACGATTTTTAAATTATTTATATAAAATGTTAAGTTATATAAGTAAACTTTAAATACAAGATAATAAAATAAAATTGAAGTTAATTCAATACGTGCGCAAGCCATCTTCTCTTAAATAAGTAGGTAGCGACTAGCGTCAAACTGCGCAGTTCGTCGTCCATTATTACAAGAGCCGCGGGCAACTAGTGGGATTCCCCCTGCCGGATCTAAAAGGCTTTGATGGAGGGAGGCTGAATGGCTCATGCGATGCTGGCACACCGCGGGCCGACGAACGAGCGAGTTGCTACGTCACCAATGCAGGCCGTTTGAAACCGGCCGAGGTGCCGGCCGACAACCTGTGGTAGGTATGCGAGGAATGTGACTACTCGGTGGCGTGGGAGGCTCAAGATAGCCCGTTTTGCTATTTACGTACCGCAAATGCAGTTTTCCGTAGAATAATTTCACGCCAGGCAAGTTTAATTGAACATTAACAGGAATTGCGTCTATTCTTAGTCGATTATTAAATTTTGACGACAAAACTATGAAGCCGTTTATCTCTTTGATAACTCGTACGATGACGCAATATATTGGTAACTTTGTTCCGGTTGGAATTCAAACAACGCTGTGATTGGCAAACAAATGTCTGACACATTATTTAAAGTTATGTTAGAAAACGAATTTGAAGTTTTTTTATTAAAAGTTTAAACAATTCTGTATAAGTTGTGGCAATGTATATTAGAAATTAAGAATAAGTCGTGAAACTCAAGTAGCCAACTTACTTCGATCGTTGTTTTCATCCTTGATAGACATCCCAAAACAAATTGATATACAATAAATAAGCAGAACAAAAGACTTATCACTGAACACAATCAATTGGTTCGGGAACAAAGATGGGCCACACTATATTAAAACAAAGAAGCACTTCAATCAGCCCGATGCTATCTGAGATGGTCGGTGCCTGCGGCATCTTTGCTTTTTATTTAACGATATCGAATGATTGTTTGGGTGCGTCCTTGCGCGTCGCGTCCCGCGTGTTATTGTTGTGCAACTATATACACGTGGCGTTGTTGTGAGTGTAATACGTCAATATCGATAAGAAAGGTATGCCGGCGCGCGGCGCAAACCATCCGTCGCAACTAACGCGTCAACTCGACGCTAGTAAGTAATAAACGAGCGGAAGGCCACGTGATTCAGATGACAAACATGTCGCCAGACTTCGCTGACCGATTGCGATTTTATCGATACTTGAATCAAAATTGAATTATGCGCGTTGCTACCTCGAGCGGGTATCGTATTTTTCAGATCCTAAAATAAATATTTCACACATTTATACGTATTACTTTCATGTGTACTCAGTAATCATTATATACACTCTATTCAGTATAAGAAACAGCGAAATCGTACAATGTAACACCTACAAGTAATAAGTAGAAATTTTAATATCTCGAAAAGTTGAAAGTCACACATGAAAGGATTGCATCGATAGAACGGGATTATAACGAATTCTATAACGCTAGATGTATTAAAAAGGGAGCCTCCGGAGTCATATGCATGAAACACAAATTCCTTTTTCCCCGCTAGTAGCCACGCAATTTCTCCGATTGTATGCAAATCCCCGACGCAAACAAAGAATGAAAAAGCACCGCTGCAGACGGTCGAAGCTTCATTCCACCTGTGTGCACGTTCCCTCTGAGCTTGTGAACAAACTAGAGACAAACGGGTAGCGAACTACGACAAAATCCCAAGAACGGAGCCGTAGCGTAAACAATCCCACCAACACATTATTCCAGAATAGATCTCATCTCTTTACATATCGACCGAAAGCGTCTTGTCGAGCAAGCTTTTATTAGCTGTCTTCGAATTGTGAATAATTCAGTAGGTTTTCTATTAAGCACTTAAAAGAATAATGCGTCGGGTAGATTTCATAGCGCTGCGACG